ATATATATATATATATATATATCATCCATGATACCAGGTGGAAGCCAGGAGAGCAATAAAGATCCCCCTCTCCACTTCCACCTTTTCCACTTCCACTCTCAGGGATACAGCAATGAAATAATTCCCCGCCAGTAGCGGGAAAGTTGAGAGCGTGTCACACTCATCCTCGATTTTCTCCCTCTCCTTCCAACACTGTCTAACCCTCTTCTCTCCCCAACCTAACTTCCTCTCCCGACCAACTTGTTGTCTCCCTCGGCCCTCGTGCATGCCCATCATCCGCGCCGAAAAAAAGAAAAGAAAGAAAAAGAAACACACGCGTTGCACAAACAGAATCCTCCATCTTGAAACCACGCATTCACAATGCGGCGTATACAAATCGAATAACAATGACACTTGGCAGCCAGATTTTTCTTTTTCAAGAATGGAAATAAATTTACACAAGCAACATGATTCTGTAAATAATAATCCTGTAGGGAAATCCAATCCCTTTGGGAAAATTTAATTGTTAGAAGTTTCATAAGTAGATTGAAAGCCAGTGGTCGGAAAATTGTGTGGTTGCGCCACAATCGTGAGCTATCGTAATAGGTATTAAGATGGCGTCGTGCGATCCTTATATCGGTTTTCCAAGAAAAGACAAATTTACGCGAGTAATTAACCGTGGGAATTAGGTCTGTGGCGCGCAAACGGTACATCGGGACCAATAAATTGACGAGCAGACGTCGGGCCGAGTCTACATCGAGATCGGCCGAATAAGACCCGTCGAGCGACGTGATTGACGACTGCCATCTTCTCTCTCTCTCTCTCTCTCTCTCCCCTCTCCTTGTCTCTCAATACGTCGCTCACTTGGATTAGTCGGGCAGCTCGAGTTCAACTGACGAAGGTCAGCCTTTGTTTCGTTTACTTACGTCTCTCGAGGACGTAATCTACAAATTCTGGTTGGACTACACGCTTGTTTCGAGAAATCTCGAGTTTTGTCCCGAGTTTCGTTATCGCACTCTTTTTTTTAGGATAAATTGGATGTATTATAATTGTAAAGGGCTCGCGCAAGATTTGAATTTCGCGCCATTCGTGCGGTAAAGTGTTGCCAACGAAAGAGAAAAAAAGGACAGCGTGACAGGTTTCTCGAACGAAATCATGTTCGATGAGGCTAGTTTTCATCTTGATGGATTGGTTAATCGATGAAAATTGTCATGATAGCGCAAAATCCATGAGTGAGATGGTTGAAAAACAAATGCATCCATAATATAGTGTCGTTGTTTAAGTGGGATGCATGCTAATGGTGCTCGCTATCGTGACGTGATAATCCAGTTTTTCTGTCTGCCGTGCGATTTAACGTCGTTGGACTTTTTTCTTTAAGGTTTTTTCAATGTCCAAGGTTTATACCGACGATTACCACGTCTCGAAGGAGGAAATTGAGCCACGTTTATGGTGATGGAAAATTTCAACAAAAGAGCGCGTATGCAAAGTTGTGAAGGCCATTTACCCGATATGCTATTTACGGATCAATAAAAAATTTACAATTTTCGATTATAAACCTGTGTTTTCTGTAATCGAAATTACTTCTTACGTGAATTTTGGGACACGAAGAAAAATAATAGACAAGATTATTCCAATCGTGCTCGTCGATAATATTTCCCTCGAAAATTATTTAATTATTTCGTAAACGCTTTCCACTTACGCTTTTCCGTAAACGTTCCTCCCGGATAAATAGAGAATATAACCTATCGTTTCCTCGTAAAGGGAAGAAACGATACTCCCTTTTGGCCAAAGTACACGATCTATCTATCGTATCGACGAAATTGGAAAAACAAAAGGGAAGATTCTGAAAACAATATGGAAATCGCCGTTTCAAAGAAAATAATTTTAATAAACGATCTCTAAACTTTTCGTACCCGTACGTTTTTTCATCGTACGTTGGCAAATTTCGTTTCTTGCCCACAATTTTGTCCGGGCAAAGATGAAGGCAATTAAGCGATTCGAGCAGAAGACGGAATCGGGCAAATCGAGCACCGATCGTTTTAACCACGATTTCCAAGATGGCTTCTTGTCTGTTCGATTTAGGTAAACCTAGGCCCCGGGTCACGTGGCTGCTGGAGTCGCAGACAATCGATGCGCCGTCGGAGATTCGGGAGAGCCAAGGGCCAGGAGGCGAAGCCAACGTCGTGACCATAAGCAACGTGACGCTGAAGGGTCTCACGAGGAGTCACTACCACGCCAAATTGTTGTGCAAGGCGAACAATACTCATTTAGCACCGCCCCCCACCACTGCCGTCATCATCGAGCTTCACAGTGAGTCCCCGCTCGTTTACGAAATACACCTTAATGTTTATTAATTTACATCGATCGACGAAGAGAACGAAAAAAATCAGAGACAATTGACCGAATACCATAAAAGATACCAAGAAAGATTTTCCACGTGAAAAGAAAAGAAAAAAGAAAAAAAAAAAAAGAACAAGGTAGACAATTTGTCCCTTCATCGAGCCGTGAAAGCCAACTCGGTTATGTTAATGAAACGATCAATAATTAACGAAGCTAATTACCCGTGATGCAGGAGAGATCGCTCCGCTCTGAAACTCTACTACCGTTTGACCCACCGCCAGATTTCGTTGTACTCGTTCACCCGAGACACGCCTATCCACGCG